CAACAACAACAACAACAACAGCAACAACAAAAAAGCAGGAATGTTTATTAAGTGAGAGAGAGTGTGTACGTGCGTGTGTATACGTGCGTGCGTGCGTGCGAAAGAGAGAAAGAGAGAGAGAGAGAAAACCGGTGGCATCGATCAACTATCATTTTTTTTTTTTCTATTTGTTTTTTATTTTCTCATTTCTCTTATGACGTCATAACCACACCCTAAAAAAGCAACAAGACGTTTGACGCGTGGCGCGTCCTCATCTCTCCTCATCAATTTGACGTCACGACGACGTCACGAATCACTTTCCAACCCCTGATTCTACCCCTACCCATCCCACAATTTCGACATTTCGTAAAATAATAATAATAATGATAATAATTTTCATTATTCGAAAATCTCTTTTTATAAATCGAATTATGATAATGTTAAATCAACCGGGGAAAGTGTGATAATAATAATAATAAAAACGATTTTAAAAAATTTCCTTCAGAATTTTTTTCTTTCATTTCTTCCATTTCTTCGTTTTCCCTCTTTCCCACTCCCCTCCCTCTCCCTCTTTTTACTTCCCTTTTAAAAAAAAAACGCATTTTCGAGTATTATTATTATTATCAATCCAATTCCCGTCTGGAGTGGGAATCTTATCAGAGATTCTATATGGGAAAAAACCGCAATTTTTGTTTGCATTCCTACGACGACGACGACGACGTTCGATTTTGCACAGACACAAAACGTTTGCTGACCTTTTACGTGTGCCCGTCAGCATTTATCTCTCTATCTCTTTCTCTCTTACGAGCGCGCGCACGCACGCACGCACGCACGCACGCACGCAAGCACGCACAAGGGTTTTTTGTTTAACTACTACCACCGTCATAAAAACCTCACATGATAATTAATTACGTATGTATGCTTTTTACAATAATAATAATAATAATGATAAAGTCGGATATCAAAATTTTGAACGATGAAAATGTCGCTTTCCCGGGAAACCTGGACCCTGACTTCACATCAACTAATTAAATTATTATTATTATTAAAATATTAAAAAATGTTGCCATCATTTCGGTCGACTCTCTTTTTGATAGCAAAAAAAAAAAAGTCATTTCCTCTTCGCGATACATTTTCCATCTCGCTCCCTATTACATTATTTTCCCTATCAATTTTCTAGAATGTTTTCCAACTTTCCCCCCTTCCCCCCGTCATGAAATCAACCTTTTAGGAAAATGAAAAAAATAAGAAAATAATCGGGATGAACCAAAAAAAAAAATTTTTCTCTAAAGTGAAAAATAAAACGGCGGTTGAGTCGTATATTAGAAAAAAAATAAGGAAACAAACGAACAACAACCACACAACAATCAAATCGATAATAATAATATCGTAAAACAAAATACAGAAAAAATTGGGGGGGGGGGAGGGAGAGGAGAGCAAAATGACGATCGAAACTTAAAATATACGGTTTGATCTTAAACCAAAAAAATTCCATTTGAAAAAATGAGATAAAGAGAGAAAGAGAGCGACAGAAAAAAAATTTTATTAAAAAACGACGCGACTCTCTCAAAAATGAGCAGAAGAAAAAAAAAGAAAACAACAACAAACAACAAACAAATAAAAAAAAAAAACATTTTTTTTAAAAGTCAGAATTTATCTTCGGACGTTTCAAATTTCAGAAAAAAAACTCGTCAAAATTAATCCCAAACTTTTTTTAAAACAACATATAAGTGATTACGCAACAGCAACAAACGACAAACAACAAACAAACAAACAAAACAAAAAACGAAAACCCAACCAGTAAAAAAAAAAATTTTTTAATACTTGTAAAAAAAAAATTAATTATAATTTCCGCAATTATATTTTTTTCCGTTACGTTTGCCGCCATTTTTGTTTTTTGAGGTAATGAACGACAGCAAATTTGAAATTTGCTCTCGTAAACATGAATTTTAAATAATACATCGAATTAAAATTCCACGTCCAGAGTAAAAGAAAATGTCAACATTTTGTTTACATTTTACCCCTCTTTTTTAACTCGTTCCTCACCCACTACAAAATAAAAAATGGCGTCCTAAAGGAAAACGTCCGACATTTTTTATTACGTCATCGAACCACGTGATATTTATTTATTTTAATTAAACGATAGGTAAAAAATATTTTTTTTTTTTAACGTATTAAAATTTCAGTTTTTTAAAAAAAAAGGTCGAGAAGGCTAAAATTTACCGAAAAAAAAAGAGCATAAAAGGGGGTTGGGCGGGGGAAGGGGAGAAGAAAAGGCGAGAAAAAAAATTTTTTTGAAAAGGATCTGAAATAATAAAAAAAAAATTCAACTCGTTTGTTCTTCGTCCGTTGGTAGGTTCGAGTGAAACAATTCATTAAAAAAAAAAAAAAAAATTTTTCTTTGTTCGGCGTTCGTATAAAAAAAAATTTAGAAGAAAAAACGAGGGGGGAATGGGGGGTGGGGAGGATGAGGAGAAAAAAGAAGGTGGGAAAACGAATCAACGTGAAAAAATTTGACTTTTTTTTTGTTTCCTCATCTTTCTTTCTTGCGTTTGATTGCTGACTTAAAATTTATCGAGCAGTAAATAAAAAAAAAAAAAGAGAGAGAGAGAGAGAAAACAAAATATTCAATGACGACGAAGAAGAAAAAGAAGAAAAAGAAAAAAATGATGGAGAGAAAGAGAAGAAAAAAAATATGCAAAAAAAACCAAAAAACCGAAAAAAAAAATTTTTTTTTCCCATTTTCAATTTTTTCTTCTTCTTCTTCTTTTTCTCTTCTACCACTTTTTTTTCTTCTCCCACTTCTTCTCCTCCTCAAACCCATTCATATATTAAAAAAAAAATATAAGAAGCAGAAACAAAAAAAAAAAGGGTCTCGAATATTTTTTTTATTTTTTTTCCCAAAATCAAATTTTCTCAATAAACATTCACGAAAAAATATACGAATGAGAAAAAGGGAAAGCGGAATGGAAAAAAAAACAGAAAAAACCTGAAATTAATATTTTTCTTATCCTTTTTAAAATCTGATTTTCCTCCGCCCTCCTTCCCAAAAAAAAAAAAATTTTTTTCAACCATTTTCTCATCGTTACAACCGACCGATTTGATTTTTGTTTTTTTTTTTCGGATCGAGAAAATAAAAACGATGATGACCGAATAATAATAATAATAATAAGAAAACCGGGAAAAATGTTAAAAAATCAATAATAGAATTACCTACGATTTAGTTTAGCAGACGAAAAAAAAAAAAAAAACAAATTTATGTGTAGCCTACCCGCCCTCCTTTCACATAAAATATATATATATGTAGGTGAAAGGTAGGCGAAAGGGATGAAGGAGAAGAAAAAAAAAAATATAAAAAGGAAGGAGGGAAAACCTTTTTTTCCCCTCGCATTAACTTTCGTTCTTTTCCTTCTAATATTTACCATTGAAAAACAATTTCCACAAGACGAATGATAACAATAAGCAACAATTAAAAAACAAACAAAAACAAACATTCAAAATCGGCTCCTTTTTTAAAAAAACATCAACGCCATGCATGCTACTACTCTCCTCTTGCATTTTCTCGTGAATAATCAATGCCGTGATCGGGGGTGAGGAGGGGAAACAACCGCAGCAACAACAGCAACAACAACAGCAAGAGGACGACAAAAAGCAAATTTGCAACAACGACATCCATCCACAAATTAAAAATTACACGAAATCAAAACGTTTCACGTTAAAAAATAAAAATGCGAAATTTTTTTTTCGGGGAGGAGGGGAGGAAAATAAAAAATTCACCTCCTTCCCCTCTCCCTCCCATGTCTCCCCAATTTCACCCTCTCTTTTCAAATCGAGTTTAAATTATTCGTAAAAATTATTTTACGTTTTTTAGAACCAAAGCAGCCAACCCCCCCGAATAAATTAAATTTTAGTTTTTGAAATAAAATGTGCGTGCGTGCGTGCGCGTGCGTGTGGGAAGGGGGGCGTCAAACACAATACAGATTAGAAAAGCGGAAGTAGATTTAACAAAACAAAAGTCCGATCGTGTGCAATTTTCGCGAGAAAATTCGAGATTGAAAACAGGCACGAACCGACCGACCGATCTGGCGAACCCGAAAAAATCCCCGGGAAAATTCAAACAAAAAAAAAGGATTTAAACCTTAGGGATTTATAAAGTTAGACAACCTGAAAAAAATTCGTTGCCAAAATATCAACAAAAAGCCAACGTATAATAAAAAAAAAAAGCACGAAAAGCAGACGACGTAACCAACCAGAAAAAAAAAAAAAATTTTTTTTCCTGGTTTACTACACCCCCCACACCCGCCCCATGCAAATATCGATTGAGATGAAAATATTTTTTTCACTCTGAACCTTCTCCACTCCTTCTTCCCTAAATCGATCCCGAATTCGGTTCCCTCCCTCCTTCCCGAAATAAAAATCCCCCCTACTTTTTTTTTATTAGGGAAATAAATATTCCAGTTATTACAACCATCAATAATGATCGTAATTTCATATATATATTTTTTTTGGGGGAGGGAGATTTACTCGTCTCCTCCCTAAACCTCCCACCATACACCCCCCCCCCAAATAAGTGAATGAGATAACATTAATAATAATAATAATAATTTTTAAATTTTACGGTAATTTTTTTTCGGTCAAATTCTGTCTTCCGTCATCATGTAACATACATTTACGTGATAAAGATGAAGAGAAAGAGAGAGAGAGATATACAAATGATAAAGAGTGTGAGTGAGAGAGAGAGTAAATGTAAACGTAAAATATTTCGCTCTCTCTCTTCGATATATGACGTCATTGAATGTTAAAAAAAAATGATGATGAACGACGAATCAGATGGACCAACAGAATATCATCCCTTTTACCCAGTTCCCTTCCTTCCTCCCTCCCTTTCCCCCCAATTTTTTTTTTATTTCAACGGGAGAAAATTCGACCGACTTCCGGTTTCGAAATGTAAATAAATAAAAATAATAATAATAATAATAAATAAAGGGTAAAAATAAAAAAATAAAAAAATAATCAATTACCTTTGACATCGTCATCTTCTAAAGTCGTGGAACTATCTGTGCTCTCTTTGACTTGTGACCCGTCTCCTTTTTTCGTTATTATACTGCGACCTGTAAAAGAACGAACAAAAAAAAACGTTAGAAATGATAATGATGATGATGATGATGATAATGATAATAATAATAAAATTTGCTTTGCGTACGATTTTATCCTCAACTCTACGAAGCGAATTTTTTTTTTTTTTTTACGAAAACTCGAAATGGGAATAAAAATATGGTGGAATCGGGAAGAGGGGGAACGATGGGAGAAAGGGAGTAAAAGGGCGGGAAACTCATAAATTCGAAAAAAAAAATTTATAAGTTTTTTTTTTTTTTTTTTTTTCGGAAAATAAAATTAAAAAAAGTTTTTTTTTTGTTGCTTGCTCTCTGACATTTGACCTTTATTCAAGCTATTTTTTTATTCTTTTATTTAACTCTTTACTCCCCCACAACCACCCCTCTCACTTACACCCCCTTCCATGTTTATTTATTACGTCAGGCATCAAACATATGTTTTCCAGTCGCGCTAAAAAAAAAAAAAAATTATTTTTTTATTTGACCGCTTTTTGTCATTTTTTTTTCGCAACGGGAAAAAAAATATGGCGGCGAGAAAGAAAGAGAGAATGATGGGAAAAACTGAGATTTGTCTTTTGCCCTCATCAAATCGGTCTTTTCTTACTTCCTTTCTTTCATTTTTCTTCTTTTTCCTAATGATAATAATAATAGTAAGTCACACTTTTCGTGACGTCAAAAAAACTACGTAAAACTACGTTTTTTTTCTTTTTATTTTTCTTTTTCGTGCGGGAAAAAATTTTCTCTTACGAATATCGGATTGTATCCTTTTTAATAAACAAATCTCGCACGAGTTTGTGAAAGAATTATTGGGGGGCTGGGGGGAGGGTTAAAGGGATAAAGCAAAAAGAAGGGGGGTAAAGAAAAAAGAAGAAAAGAAAAATAAACTTTGAAAACATGAATTAAACGGAAAATTTAAAAAAAACGTTTACGATGCCAATAATAATAATAATAATAATAATAATAATAATAATAATAATAATAATAATAATTTTGTTTGTAAGACCGATTTTAAATCAGGAAAAAATTATTGAAAAGCAACCGGAAAAAATTTTTCGCGAGAACAAAATCTCAAGTTTCTCCCCCATTCTCCTTTCCTTCCCCCCATCCCCTTCTTGAAACAAAAACTCGAAAATATCGTGTCAGAAGACAAAATAAATAATAATAATGAAATAATAAAAATAAAAATAATTATTATTATTCGCATGATTTTTTCTTTTTTTTTTCTAAATGCACGACGACCGTTTAAACATTTCAATCGTTTTTAAAACGATTTTACAAAAAAAAAAAAGAAACAAAAAGGAAAAAAAAACCGACATCAAAGGGAAAAAAAGGGGGGAAAAGGAAAAAAGGGAAAAAAAAAAATTTCACTAAACGATTTTTTTTTCTTTTTCTTTCTTTCATTTTTTTTTTTTTTTTTTTTTAAATTTTGAATTTAGAAAAAAACGTTTTGCGAATGATTGAAGCTGAGAAAAAAAACATTTTTTTTTATGTCGACAATCAAAAGCAAAGAAACAAACGCTTAGGATAAAATTGTACGCGATGCAAAGCAATCGTAAACAAAAAAACTTTCAGGTTTGAACCTGAATTAAAATAAAAAAAAAAAAAATTCGCACGAGTATTAAATATATTAGTTAAAGAACGAAATCCCCCTTTTTCTCTTCTTTATTATTATTATTATTAATTTTTTCCTTGTTTCGTTATTTAAACAAACAGCGGCCAAGCAAACAAACAAACGAATTAATATACAGATTACCGACCGTAAAAAAAAAAAAAGAGAAAAAAAAATTTTGTTTTTTACAATCGGTAATATTATTATTATTATTGTTAATTTATTATACTTTGTTTTGCGAATTAGATACGCGTAAGAAAAACAAACAAACAAACAACACAACAAACAAGCAAAATTTAAAAATAAAAAAAAATCTTTGCAAATTTTTTTTTTAAAAGACAATTTTTATTACTGTCACAGTTTGGGAAACGAAAAAAGGGAAAAAATTACATTTTTAATTATGCGAGTGAAAGACAAGGAGAGAAAAAGAGGAATAAAAAAATGAGAGAGAAGAAAAAAGGAGAGAAAAAGTGAAGAGATAAAAGCAGCATTGTTAGAGAGTAGAGAAAGAAAGAGAGAGAGAGAGAGAAGGACAGAATATATAAAATCATTGTTAAAAATAAAAGAAGGAAAGAAAATTAGAAAGAGGGAGAGAATCGGAGAAAAAAAAAAGATAAAATGAATCGAAAGAATGAAACAAAAAGAAATTCAAAAGAAAAAAAAAAGATGATATGAAAAAGAGAGAAATAAAAAAATAAAAAATAAAAGAGAGAGAGAGAGAGAGAAAACAATGCAAAAAAAAAATTCGGATAAAAAAAAGAAGAAAGTAAAATAAAAAACAGAAAAAAGGAAAAAAAAAATGAAAATAAAAAATTTGAAAAAAAAGAAAAAGGAAACCAGAGAGAGAGAGAGAAAATAAGACAAATGAAAGAGAAAAAAACAAATAAAAGCATCGATAACGATAGAGGAAGAGAGAGAAAGAGAGAATAAGAAATAAAAAAAGAAAAAAGAAAAAAAGGGAAAAGGTCAATAAGCACACGCAAAAAGAAAAAAAAGAAAAAAATACAAAAAAAATTTTTTTTTTTCCTTCTTCTAGAAACTTCCAAATTCAATTATAAATAAATAAAAAAATTTTCAGGCACGAACCTCGAACCTCAAGCAGCGCAATTTAAAATATCATATTAATGAACGCAACCACACTCGTGAAATGAGAAAAAAAAAAAATGATTTCGAATGATGAAATGTACGATATTTTTAACATGTGTAATCTCCTTCTTTCCTCCCTCCCCCTCCCTTCTCCCCCGTGTAATAATTTTTTTATTTTCTAATGACACGACGACAAAACTCTACGAAAAATTTCCGTTAGAAAATTTCTTCTAACTCTCGTCAATTGTAAAAAAAAAAATTAAGTATCTCACGCAACCTCCAAAAAATTCCAGAATTTTTCTCTCTCTCTCTCACTCTCTCCAGCTATAAGTAAATTTTAGTTTAAGTAAATATTTGCCCTGGAGCAAAAATATTGACTCCTAAAAATTTTTGGAGCAAAAAAAGAGAAAAAAATGAGAAAACGGAAATTGAATTTTTTTTTTTTTTCGCGCATTGTAAACAGGTTTAAAAAAGTTAAACTTTTGACTTTTTATCAAACTTTTCCTCCCCCCCTTCATTCTTTATTCTTCTTCTTCCACGTTTTTCCACCTTTTCCCTTCATCCTCCCCCTTCCATTTTAGTTATTCCGAGAAAAATTCAATGTTAATACCGCAAATAATAATAATAATTTGATGCGTTTTTAACGAATCGAGAGAACGCAAACAAATCAGGTTATCGATACCGATCTGAAATATGCGGGTAAGTCTTACGTCACTCGTTAAAAACAAAAAAACAAACAAACAAACAACGCACACGCTTTCGCACGCCTCAGAAAAAATAAATAACCGCAAAAAATTTTTCAAAAAAAAAAAAACAAAAAAAAAACGCGCCTTTTCATTGTTTTTCCAGGTTTTAATCTTTCTCATGTTTTCCCCTCCCCTTCTTTCGTCCTCTCGCCTCTACCCCCGCGTCCTTCACATTTATTATCATTATTATTATTATTATTATTATTTTTTAAACCTTTTAATTCCCACTGTAAACATTCACACGAATTTTTAATATTTTTTAATATTTTTATTCTTCTCTTCTTTTTACCTTCCTTCCTTCCTCACTACCGTATCCTCCTACCTCATTCTCCTCCTTCACTCCCACCTCCTCCTCCTACTCCACCTTAAAGCAAATATATCACGCCTCGAAAAAAAAAAAAAAAGATTAAAAGCAGAAAGTATACAAGCAGGATTAAAACAAACGATCTGCATTTATACTCGTTTTACATTTCCGTTAAGTTTACCACCCTTCCGAACGGCCGATTGACCGATTAACACGTTCAACACGTACTCATAAAAAGAACAAAGAGGTAGCGAAAAAGATGAAGAAGAAGAGGAAAGAGAAACACACACAAAACAAACAAAAACTACGAAAGTTATACGAATAAAAACAATTTTTTTTTGTTTGGAACGTTCGGAAGCAGAAGAAAAGCATAAAAATCCGTTCGGTGTCGAGTAAATAACCGAACAGCTACTCGGCTTTAATATTTCTACGGGTTTTATACGACATAACGAACGTCCTACTACGATTTACTACGATCAGATTCAAACTCATCTCCTGCTGTAGGTCTCGAAAACGTTCATCCGTTCACCCGTTGGTTGGATTAATACATTGACCTCACACACAGAACAACGCCCGAACGTGTATCATTCGTGTCAGTGTTTTACATACACCGTTAAAAACAATTTCATTTAATAAAAACATTACGAAAGGTACGAGCGAACGCTTTGCCGAAGGAGTTCGCTCATTCATGCAATTTCTTTTCACTTTCGATCGATATATAAATATACGTAAAGAAAAACCGAAGGAATTGAGTCAAACGTTAGTTAGTTACAATAATAATAATAATAATGATAATGATAATAAAATGAAATGGTTTAAGTGTTGTGTTGTGTTGTGTGTTTGTGCACTAACAATAACATGAAACATTCATTATCATCTATCAACCCCATATCGAAAGCGCTCCTTGAGATCCGAGGTACTTACCGTGAACGTCGTACTTACTGGAAAAGTTGCGGGTGGCCAGCATGGTTGTAAGTATGGCGCCCTGCGTTCGTAAAACAAACAAACAAACAAAAAACATTATAAATATAAATAAAAAAAAGCGTTCGATTAAACGTTCTTAGACTAAAAACAAAATTAACAAACCTTTAACTTGCGCCTCGCATTGAATTTTTTCAAGCAATCGACAGTCTCTTGACGATGAACCATAGAAGCAACACGTTCGCGTTGCTGAAAAACAAAAAATTATTATTATTATTATTTAATTCGGAAAAGCGTCGTTTTAAATCGAAAGAGTGGGGGTCGGTGGCGATTTTGCAACGTCGCTTTTTTCCATCCTTTCTATCGCCACGTTTACAAAAAAAAAAATTCTTTTCAACTCGACGATGGTCTCCATAATCCATCCGAAAACGGAAGTAGTGATAATAATGATAACGATAAGGTTACGAAAGGGTTGTGGAGGGGAGAAGAAAAGGAGGAGAAGGGAGAGAAGGGGAGGGGGAAGAGAAAGAAAAAAAAGAAAAAAATTTTAATGATAAAAATAAAAGAACGAAAAATACCATCGTCGAGATTCTTACTCTGAACGGAAATGAATTTTTTTTTTTTTTTTTAAACCGGAAACGAACAAGTGTTGCCAACTTTTTTTTTAAAAAAAAAAAAAAGTCTATTGATGGACTTACGCAAATCCAGGGATGTTTGAGTGCGTCAGAAGCTGTGATTCTTTTCGAAGGATTAACTGTGAGCATCTGATTAATGAGGTTCTTCGCTTCCGGTGTTACCGTGTCCCATTCCGGCGTCGGATACTTATAAAAAAAAAAAATTATTATTATCACTATGAGAAAACGATCATTTCCGGTTTTGTTACCAGGTGACGTCATAATAACAAACTTTTTTATTTTTTATTATTTAATTTTCGTCGAAACTTTTTTTAAACTGATTCACTCAGAATTGAATATTTAGTTTTTTTTTTTTTTTAAATCTTCTGCTTTCGAATAAAAACTTTTATTATTATTATTATTATTAAATTTTCTTTCACTTTGTTTCCTTTTATTTTTCAAAAAAAAAATTACGTAATAATAATAATAATAATAATAATAAGAACTCGAAAAAAAAAAAACTTTAAAATGATGACGATGACAATAATAATTTAAAAATAAACGTTTTGCCTTAGAATATTATTATAACTATAATAATAATAATAATAATAATAATAATAATAATAATAATAATAATAATAATAATAATTATTATTATTATTATTATTATTATTATTATTATTACTTAACATTTCGTTTTGGATTTTCTTTTTTTAATTATTAAAAATGAGAGAAAAAGAAAGGGAGAGAGAAATTATCAAATAATTAACGTAATTTATTTATTTATTTTTAGTTCACGACGTTATTATAAACAATTTCTATTCGTCTTATTATTATTATTATCGTCATCGTCGTCGACGTCATCATCGTCGTCTTAATTACTTTCCGAGTTTGAAAATTAACAAAAGATAAGAAAAAAAAAAAAAAAATAATATTACTGAAATAAAGGAAGACTCACGTCATAGGCTCCAGCTTTGATTTGCGCGTAGAGACGGTGCTGATCCTCGTCCCAAAAGGGTGGATAACCCACGAGGAGAATGTAAAGGATGACTCCGCATGCCCAGATGTCCACGGGTTTACCGTAGGGTTCTTTTTTGAGCACTTCCGGTGATAGGTAACCAGGGGTTCCCGCGAATCCGAACCACGCTTGATTTTCTCCCTGAACTTCGATTGCTAAACCGAAATCCGCTAATTTAACAGCCGCTCCTTTGATTTTCGATGCTAGTAGCAAATTTTCTGGCTGAAAAATTATCATCATCATTATTATCATTATTATTATTATCATAATCATTATCAGTGATCGAAGGGTTATGCGATGCAAATCTCCAAAATTCGTTTCAGGCGATTTTCGGGAGCGAAGCTGAATAGGGGAAAAAAAAAATCAAAAACTTGCAAAAATGCCCCGAATAATCCCCTTTCTCTCTCTCTCTCTCTTTTTCTTCCTTTCTCTCTCTTTTCCTGTCTTTCTCTCCCCGGGGACAAGATTTGAAATTAATTTGAAAACCTTTTCATTTCTCCTTATACATTTAAACTCGGAAAAATTAATTTCGGACATTCAGAAAAGAATCGAATCCAAACCCAAAATTTTCTCTGTCTCTTTCTCTCTCTCTCATCATCTGACATTTCGTATCATTCATTCATTCAATCATTCAGTCATTCAGTCTTTCAGTCATTCATTCATTCGCCTTTTACTAACAAAAAAAAAACTTTCAAACGAAACCAAATAAAATCAAAAATTTTTTTTTTTTTTTTTTTTTAATATTAATTTTCAATTTCTCGTCGGTTAAATCAAAGCAAGCAAACAAACGAATGAACGAACAAACAAACCAACAAACAAACAAAACATATACAAACGGAATAATTAAATATAGGAAACTCGACGTTTTTTAAAAAAAAAAAGCAAATAAGGCAAAAGAGAAAGAGAAAGAGAGAAAGAGAGAGAGAGAGAGAGAGAAATTTCATTTTCCCGATAAAAATTAATTGAATTTAAAATTCAAATTATCGATTGATATCGATTGATTAAAATCGATAATTATTGATTTCATTTTTTTTTTTTTTTAAATTTTCGTTCAAATTTATATTTATCATTCGAGAATAATCATCACCGCAAATCTAAACTGTCAAAAATGATGATGAATAAGGAGGGAGAGAGGGAGGGGACAGGGGAAAAAAGGTTTTCACAAACGTCACGTTTGACGCGTTGTTGTTGTTGTTATCATCAGACAAAAGGTTTCAAAACGTACAAAACGTTTGCTTTATTCAAACCTTTTCTCACGGATTCTAAAAATTCAAATCTAAACCTTTTCCAGTAATAAAAAAAAAAAACCCGGGGAGAAAATTTCCCCCCACCCCCTCACCTCCCCTCGACGATTTCCAAAAAAAAAAAAATGAAAATTATTATTAACAAAATTCCTGTCGCGTTATCATAAAAAAAAAATTTTCTCCCTCTTTCTATCTCTCTCACTCTCTTTTTCATTGCGCATATAACGTATCAGAAATCTTTCCTCCCTCTTCTTCCTCTCTTTCCCTCTCTCTTTTTTTATTTTCTTTTCGAAAAAAAGGCGTAACCTTAATTTTTTTCTTTTTTTCTCATGACGTGAAAACGTAATTAAGGTACAATTTCGAAAAAAAATGGTGGCAAAAATAAAATCCGGCGGGAAAAAAAAGGTTAAAAAAAAAAAAATATTAAAGGTAAATATATGCTTTTCCGTCGTCTGCAAAATAAAGAGAGAAAGAGAAAGAGAAAGAAAGAGAGAGAGAGAAACCATTTTCTATTAAAATATTTAAAACAAATTTTCATACACAATTTTTCTTTTTTTTCTTTGCTCTCTTCGTTTCTTCCGGTAATGTATCTTTCCGACAAAGTAAAACGAAGAAAATTACGAGAGAAAGAGAGAGAGAGAGAGGGGGGGGAGGGGTGCAAAGGGAAGTAAAGGAAAGAAACAAACAGAAAACCGCGAAAAACATTTTCGAAATTATTATTAAATAAAATCCAGGTTTTTCGAAAAAAAAACTTTTGATCGATGATTCTTTCGAAAGTTATAAAACGAAAACTTTTCACGAGAATAATAATAATAATAATAATAATGATAATGATAATAAAACAAAAACCTGAACAACGAGAATGTTTTGGAAAAATAAAAAACAAGGTTTTTTATTCTCTCCTCCTTTTTTTTAACCTCTCAATTAATAATCATTCACTCATTTGACATTTTTTTTTCATTCAACCTTTTTCCTCTCAACCTTTTCCACACGATAGAGATAGATATATATACGAACGGATATGTAAAGAGAGAGAGAGAGAGGCAAAGGTATAAAATTCCAATTTAAAAACGGATTGATTTCATTTCTTTTTTATTTTTTTTTCTTTAAAATCTCGAACCCGCCTTCTTTCTCCTTCTCCCTCCCTCCCTCAAAAAAAAAAGTTCTCGCGGGGTTTTCTTCTTCTTCTTTTCCGAAAACCTGAAATGATAAAATGAAAAAAAAAAAAAGAAAATCGTCGTCGAATCGATTTTCACATTTAATTTCTTCATTTTTTTTTTTCATTTTTCCGCCATTTTCTTTCGCCGGAAGATTCAAAATTGGAAATTTTTTTTTTTTCCTAGAGAATAATTTAACCTATTTTCTTTCTCTTTCTCTTTCTCTTTTTACTCTCATCAAATCTCTTTCTCTCTCTGTCTTTCTCTTTTTAAAATCACATTTTGATAATTAAAATACAACTCGGTCGAGAAGAGATTTTCAGGTCGGGAGGAGGAGGTAGTTGGGGGGAAAGAAACTCGCTTGTAAACGAAAAACAAAAACGTTCTTTCGTTCGTTCAGGTACGACGTGATGAAAATTTTTCATTTACACAATGTAGTCATAAAATAATGAAAAATGTGGAAATTTACATTCTCTTCTCTCTCTTCTCCTTCCTCCTCTTCCTCCTTATCATCTTCTTCTTTTTCATCTCCTACGGTTTTTTTCCCCTTCTTCTTCCTTCAACATTTGCTTAATTAATTTTTCCAAGGAAGAAAATCCGTTTTAAAATTTAAAAACGTTTACGACGATAGTAGTAAAACGATTTTTCCATCATTATCATCATCATTTTCTGCTTCTTTTCCTCTTCCTTCCTCCCTCCCCTCCCTACTTTTTATCCATTTTTGATTTTTTTTCTTGTTTTTTTATTTATTTAAATCTTGTTTTTTTCTTTTTTTTAATTTTGCAGAAAAACCCGTTAAAATAAATTTATATAATAATAATAATATTAATTCTATTTCACTTCTCTTCCCCTCCCTTCCCCTCTTCCTCCAGGCGTAAAAAAAAAAGAAAAAAAAGGAAAAACATACAAAAGGAAAATCAGATTTCAGAATTTTTTTTTTCTTTTCCTTCCCCGTTTCAATTCATTTCCATTCGTATCATCATCATCATCATCATCATTATTATCATCATCATTTTTTATTTGGAGAAAGTAAATAAAAAGAAGAAAGAGAGAAAAAGTGACCTGGAATCAAAAATACGCACACAACAAATAAAGGATATCGATTTTTGCTCGAAGCCAACGGTCATCATTATTTTCAATTCTCTTCCACCTCCTTCTCTTTCTTTCCTTCCCTCGTTTTACCTCATCTCTCCCCTTCTCTCTCTCTCTCTTTTGTATTCCATCATTCGCTCCTTTTTAAAAAAAAAAAAAAAAATAGAAAAGAAAAAAAGAAAATGCATATAAAATCTTACGTGCCTTTAAATCTCTATGAACTACTCCGTTAGTGTGGCAGTGATTAACACTCTCTAAAATTTGTTGAATACAATGCGAAGCATCTGCTTCGCTATAGAATTCTCTAGCTACAATATCTTCGAAAAGTTCTCCACCTGTCACCCTGGAAAAAAGAAAAACAACAACAACAATAATAATAATAATAATAATTAAAAATGAATTTTCCGATCGATAAATAAATTATTTTAAAAAAATAATACTCACAAATCGAAAACTAAATAATGAAAATTTTCCTCTTGTATACTGTCGTGAAGACGAACTGAAACGAGACAAACAATAATGATAATGATGATAATGATAATAATAATAATGATAATGATAATAATAATTAAACGTCATGACATCAATCGAATAAAAAAAAAAAAATTCGATCGATCGATAAATACAAATTTAAATTTTCACGTTTCATTTATTCATTTTTTTTCACTTTCCTTGCCTGCTCCTCCCCCCTCTCCGACCCCCCGTTCCCGCCCCCCAAAAAAAGAAAAGACGGGGAAAAAGTTTTCGACCGGCGACGAGAAGGATGGAATGTGAAAAAAAAAATGTCTTCGACGCCGGTGAAAATTTTATTTTTCATCTCATGTAGAGTTTACACGAGGAAACGGAAGCAGAAGAAATCATTTCGAGTAATTTTTTTTCATAGACGAGCAAGAGAGAAAGAGAGAGAGAGGGGAAGAGGGAGAGAGAGGAAATTATTTGCGGTAAAGATTTTTATTTGAAAATAGTCGAAACGATGTAAACAAGTTCGAAAAAAAAAAAGTCAGAGTAAGTAACTAGAAAAAAAAAGAAAAACTTTTTTATTCCATTTTATTTATCATGTTTGTAACGATCGAAAAGGCGGTGGCAATGGCGGGAACGGGAGCGAGGGGGCGGCGGTGACGAAAGGCGGTGTGGAAAACAACATATTTTTCCCATTAGCACGCTTTATTTCATCTTTTTTACGTGGAAAGAGATCATCTTTTGAACCTTTTTAAAGACTTTTTTTTTTCCTCCAACGATTCGTTCGTTAAATTTTTTTTTTTTTTTCCTCAACTCTCTTGACACAAAACCCCTCCCCTTTCCCCCTCTCCCCCGAAACTTTACTCGGTAGTTTCTTTTTTTTCTTTTTTTTCCCCTTCAGTCGTTTCAGATTAAAAATTGACAGCCATTGATCAATTTTTCTTTTTCTCTTCCTTTTTTTTTTCTTTCTCTTTTTTTCTTTTTCTTTTTTAAAATTAATTAAATCGGATTCTAGAATGTTCCATTCGTCGTTTTTCATTAAATCTTTGGCAAGGATAATTTTTTCAATTTATTTTTTATTTTTTTTTTCGTTATGAAAAAGAGAGAGAAAAAAAATGGAAAAATGGGGGAAAAAACTCAAACGTTGCAACGTTTCTACATTGTGTCACGTATAAATCGTCACGTTGCCGACAAAAGAAAAAAAAAACCGAAAACTAAAACTAAGACTACTCACCTATGTTAGGATGCTGCAACTTTCGACAAATCCGTGCTTCTCTTTCTAATTTCTGAAAGTCTGAAAACAAAATAGAAAAAAAAAATATTAAAAATTATAATCAAGGAATCGGTTTCAGGTTTTTATCCGCCCCCCAAAAAAAGGTGTGTGTGTGTGTGTGGGAGAGGAAAATAACGAAGACAATAAATCGAATGAAAAAAAATTTTATCTCGTGTGTTTTTTTCCACCTCTACACATAAATTTCCATCGTTTTTTGTCTTTCCATCGTCCGCCATTTTGTCTTTCCGTTTAAACCTTCGTCGTATTGTTTCGAGAGTTAATAATAATAATAATAATGCGAAATGAAAGGACAAAGGAACACGACAAAGGAATACGACAAAAAAATACACATTCCTTTGTCTTTTTTTTTTTAAATTTTCAATAAAAAGAAAAAATCTACTCGAAGATTTAACTCTCTCTCTCTCTCTCTCTCTGTCTCTCTCTCCTTCTCTCTTTCTCTCTCTCTCACTCACGAGTACAAGCACGCATATTTTTTCTTTTTACTTTTATTTTATACATAACGTGTCACGTTTTCATATTATTTTTTTTTTCATAATTTTCTTTTTTTTTCTTCTTCTTCTTCTTTATTTTTCTCATTCGTTTCGTTTTTCATTTCATTCCGGTTGCCTTATTATTATTATTATTATTATTATTATTATTATTATTATTATTATTATTATCATTATTAATAATTTTCCTCTCTTCTTATTCATAACCTACAACACGTTTAAAATACTCGGAGTAAAAAAAATATTTCGCGACAACGTAAGAAAAAAAAAGGAAAATTTAATAATAATTATTATTATTATTACATTTCGCACAACGCCCCCTTTGAACGATACAGTAATAATAATAATTAATCCGTTAAGAAAACGAAAAGTGTTACCGATAATGAAAACGGATACGATTTTGATCATCATCGGGAGTGAACCGGAAACCACGTCACAACCGATGACCGTCAAATCGTATGGAATAACGTCAGACGGGAGGAAAAAACTCAACAAAACTCCCTTCGATTAATAATAATAATAATGATAATTTTTAATGCGAGTCGGCGTTGTTATTAAAAAACAAACAAACAAACAGGAAAATTAATTCGATCGCATGTTTAACGTATATTACGTAAGTTATTAATTAGAAAAACACGCGAATGATATTTTTCTTTTTTTATTTATTCATTTTGTTTTAGTTTTTGACTTTGATCAACGTCATCATCATTATCATCATCATCATCATCATGGTCGCAAGCAATCATTCTTTTTTTGATTTATTTACTACTTACTCGTTTTTACAAACCCCCCCCCCTTTTCGAGCTTTTTCGGGCACAGATGACAGAAAAAAAAGAAAAAGTCAAAGGGGAAAAATAAATCGACCCGCCATTTTTTTTTTCTGTACGGTTCCGATGCGTTGACATAAATTAAATTAAAATTTAATTTGAATTTATTTATTTATTTATTACGAAACGCGGAAAATTTATAAGGGCACGCAAAGAAAAAAAAAGGAAAAAAAAAGAGGAAAAATTTTACAAATTTTCCTCATTTTTTTTCCTTTTTTTTTTTTTTTTGAAAATCCTTCGCGTAACATTTACAAGTCGAAAAATATTTTTTTTATTAGCTTTGGAATAGAAAGAGATAGAAATAGGCAAACAAATTGTGAAACAAAAAGAAAAGAGACAAAGAAAGAGTGAGAGAGACAAAAGACAAAACGAAGAGTTTAAAATAAAAATAAAAGAAAGAAAGACACAGACTTAAAAAGAGAGAGAAGAAAAGACAGACAAACGGAGACAGAGAAAGAGAGAGAGAGAGAGAGAGAGAGAGGCAAAAGAGAGAACTAAGAGTTTATGAGAAAATAAAAGAAACACGCAGACAGGTAGTGAGAAGAGAAAGAAAGAAAGGAAGATAGACACAGACAGACAGACAGACAGACAGATATAGAGTAAGAAAAAATAAAAATTTAATAGGAAAGGTAAAAAGAGAGAGAGAGAGACTAATAGACGTAGATAAAAAGAAACAAACAAACTAAAAGAGATAGAGAGAGAGAGAGAGAAAGAGAAAAAAAAATCGATTCGATTATTTTTTAAAACTACATCGAACAATAAAAAAAAAAAACAAAAAGAATCATAAAAATTGAGAAGACTGCAAATTTCATTAAAACAAACAAAGAAACAAACAAACAAACAACCAAACAAACAAAAACAAATAACCTGTTCATAAAAAAAAAAAAGAAACGAAAACAATATGAAATTTTAATTTTTTTTTCTTCCCCCCTTCTCCCCTTTCCAATTTCATCAAAACGTTTGTTGACAAATGAAAATCTTTATTTAATACTTGAAGAAACCCTCCACCACCACCACCGTCTTTACCTTCTCTCTCTCTTTCTCTCTCTCTTCCCACGTACTTGCACGGCGGAAAAAAGCCTTAACAGGATTGAACGGAAAATTTACAGATCGAAATATTCAGGATGTGGTTAGTAAAAACAAGGAACCACCGGGAGCTACTCAATTCTCCTGTGTAGAACGGTCGAACGTTCTTCGACACCACCGCCAATATTCCAGGAAACCTGGAACGATCTGGAAAAACTTCATTGAGGACGAGGAACACATCAAAAATATTTTCGCAAAAAACAACGAAGCCATGTTTTCTTTTCACTCTAGCAATTTTTTTGTTTTTCCCCAATAATTTAACGTTAAATTTAACAGGGTTGCCAACCTTTTCGAAAGGAAAATTATTTTTAAAAAAAACCGGAAATGACAATTGGCGATGATAATAATAATAAACAAAAAAACACATTTTTCCCATCCCCTCCGTAATTTTAAACAGGAAAAAAAAAATTTTCGAGTCGCATTCTTGTTTTTTTTTGTGTCATTTATAAGTTTCAGCAAATTTTCACACGTTGCAAACGTCGGAAAAAAAAAGAAAGAAAGAGAGAGAGAGAGAGAGATAGAAAACATAAAAATAAATATAAAACTCTAAACGACGACAAAACCAAAACCTAATGAAATAAAACAAAAAAAAAAAAAGAAAGAAAAGGAAAGGAAAGAAAATCTTAGTCGTCGACGACAACCGAGTGATAAATTATGTGAAAATAAGACAAAGAGAGAGAGAGAAAGGGGAGGGGGAAAGGGGGGACGGGAGAAGAGAAAAAAACGGAAAAAAGGTAAAATAAAAAGGAAAAATTCCAGAAAACCGAATAAAAAAAAAAAAACTTTCCACCTTAAAATTAAAAAAAAAAAAAAAAAAAGGGATAATTTAGTTTTTTTGATTCGAATTCCTTTCCGCCTCTCACCCTCCCTCTCTCCCTCCCCGGAAAAATACCTCATCGCACGACAACGACGTACCTTTTCGACCCCGCTCCTCCTCCTCCTTTTCCCTCTACCCCATTTTAAAACAACCGAAAAAATTATTAGAGAGAAGAGTTGACATTTTTTTTTTATTTTTATTTATTCCGTGGTATTTCCAAAAACGCCAACCGGAAAAAAAAAAAATTGCGGGTTTGCCCTTGTTGTAGCAAACGCGAGTTTTCCAAACTTTTTTTTTTTTCCACCTGGAAAATTTTACGCAACGAAAATAATAATAATAATAATAAGGGAACCGAATAAAAAAAAAAAAAAAAAAGTTCGACCCAATTTTTTTTTTTCTCCCCCTTTTAACGTATGAAAAACTCTCTACCCCTTACTATATTTATTATGATAAATTTTCATAAATTCTAATGACACGCAATGATTTTATCATTACCTAACGACACGACGTTTTTTTTTTTCTTTTTTTGCTCCCGTTCACGTACGGATGGATGACTCCGACCGTATTTTCACGAAAATTTTCCTAACGCCTATAATACGATCATTATTTTCATTTAAACTCTTTTTTTTTTTTAAAGGAGGACACGTAACGCAACAGAAAAAGAGAGAGAAAGAGACAATGTGAGAAAGAGAGAGATTGACAGAGGCAACAATGAGAGAGTGAGAGAGAGAGAGTGTGCTTTTTGAATTAGAATTAATGCAAGATCGCCTTTGTATCGACTTAACAATCAACTTTTTAAGGCTTATAGCCGCGCCATAAATAATAAAAATAATAATAAATAATAATAATGATAATAAATAATAATGATAATGATAATAAGTAATAATAATAATAATATTTTCAACAATCATTTAGGGAATTTAATTTTTTTTTTCGAATACGAAATATTAATTAATTTTTTTTTTTTTTTTTACGTAATTAACCCGAATAAAGAAAACCTTATCGACTGAAGAAAATTTTCCCCCTACCTCGCGTCTTTCTTCTTCTTCTTCTACCGCCACGTTATAACGTAAAACAAAAGGTTGCAAACTAGAAAGACTTGCGCGTTTTTTTATGCAAACAAGAGGAGAATAGAGAGAAAATGCAAATAATAAAACGAAAACCGTATAATAACCGAAAAAAAAAGAAGGATAATTTCAGTCGTGTAATGAGATTTTCAGTTTCTCTTCTTCTTCTGGCGAAATAAAAAAAAAAATTTCGCATCCCTCTTTTTACCTCCCCATTCTCTCCCCCTCGCTCCCGTCCCCCGTAATCTCCCCTACCGTCCTCCTTCCCCTCCGCAAATAAAAATAAAAACGTCGATCGAGAAATGCGTCGTAACTTTTTTCGAACTTGTTGAGTTTTACATGAAAAACATGGCGGAGGATGTGGGTCGGGGGGCGGGGCGGGGTTGGGGAAGGGAAAGGAAGAACCCAAAAAGAAAAATAATTTACTTGACTAAATTAAGGGTGATGTGAAATGATGTCGGTATTGCCATCTCTGCCACCGCCACCACCGTCGATTCCCCCGTTTTTCCGCCGACGTCACGTTCACTTTCTCTATACCTCGTCAGTCAGAATTTAAAGGAAAAACCGAAAAATAAAAAAAAATAAAACGGTCGACCTGCGCGTGAGAGCCGAAAGATGCTGCTGCTGTTGCTGCTGTTTTTGCTGCTGCGAAAACCTGCTGCAGTCGATTCAGCAGCAGCAACAATTATCGACCTCTTTTTTTTTTTTTCTTCTT